GTCCTCGAATCAGGGCCCAGTTGATCTCAGAGTCAGAGGCCATTTGGTCTCAGAGTCAGAGACCAGGTGGTCCCGAAATCAGGAGGGACCAGTTGCTCGTCGAGTCAGGAATTAGTTGGTCCAGGAGTCTGGGACATTTCGCCCCAGAAACAGGGACCAGTGGGTTCCTGACTAATGGACCAGTAGGTAACAGACTAAGGAGGGATCAGTTGATCTTCGAGTCAGGGACTAGTTGGTCCCACAGTCAGGGATCAGGTAGTCTCAGTGCCAGGGACCAGTTGGTCTCAAGGTCAGGGACCAGTTGGTCTCAGAATCAGGGACCAAATGGTCCCGGAGTTAGAAGAGACTAGTTGATCGTCGAGTCAGGAATCAGATGGTCCTGGAGTCAGGAGAAACCAACTGGTCTTTGAGTCTGGGTCCACTTGGTCCCAGGAGCAGGGATCAGAGTTGGTCCTCGAGTCTGAATTTGCTCATTAAAAAAAATGACTGGGGGCTTTGATTCTTTCTTACACCTCTTTTGATAGGTCCTTGGGTCTCGTTGATCAATACATTATAAATCTTACACCCTACTTTTTTGGCAATCTCAGATAGAATAATTAATTTGTTTTCAGAAACAGTAATTAAAAATATTGATTTTTTATAGAAAAGATTTTGTAGGGTAAAGGGGTACGCAGTAAAACAAAGGGATTTTTCCCCTCATGGGTGCGCCTGACCTGATCTCACAGCCACATATGTAAAAATATGTGGCTATTCCATGTTATGTTATTTTTGTGTGCTGGAATAATTTTTTTGTTTAATTATGATTAAAAAATTATTTTTGTGCGGTGAAAGCAGCGACACGATTAAGATTTCAATTTTTAATTTTTATGGTTTAGTTTTTTGAATAGAAACACTTATTCAACTTGACTTATTCTATTTTTCCTCCTCTTTCACATGGTTGTATTGAGATTAGGCTAAAATAAAATTCTGACTATCATTTTGTACATCAAATGATCAAATGAAAACATTACAGGTAGTACACAGTGAAACAGCAGCCTAGGGTACACAGTGAAACACCTATTTTATCATTAGTTTTTGTTACAGGTGGAGAGAAAAAGAGCTGTGAGCAAGAAAATAGGTAATTCTACTAATTTCTTTGGTCACAACCCATTTTCTGTAACAAAAAGCAAAAGACAATGATAAAGTAGGTGTTTCACTGTGTACTACCCAAGCCTGCTGTTTCACTTAGTACCACCTGCGGTATTTTTTTTTCAAACTTCTGAGTATGGGTCCTCAAAGAAATTCCAAATATGATTTGAGGCAACCTTTTTACCTTATTATATCCTTTTTGCCCTTTGAATTTGGACAGTATAGCTTAATTTGCGTGTTTCACTGTGTACCATAGGGTGTTTCAGTACCCTCACAGGGTTACACAGTGAAACCAAAAAATGTATTTGGTTTTTTATTCATAACTTACACAATTTTCATCAAGAATTATTCTAATATTCAGGATATATGTAGCTTTCAAACCAAGCAACAAGATTTGAGTTATCTTAATTACAACATAATATACAGGCAAATATGTGAAAAATATTTCACTGTGTACCCCTTTACCCTCTATAAAATTTCTCGAAATAGTTCTCCTACGAATTATAATGTGGCGGTTTGATTTGCACTACCCTGTGTATGGAGGCATTCAATTTATATGCATTTGTTGGCATCCAGAAAAGGATCCGACAAGTTGAGATCCAGCTAATCTCAGTTGTAGCTGTGAATTTTGAGTGTTGAAAACGGACCAATCCTCACCAGCATCAATAAAAATAGGGAAAACGTATGGGCATTCAGGATCGAACCAGGAATATTCCAAAATGGATCTGTTTTTCAAATTATTTTGTCCATGGGATCTAATTTTGTCTTTTTATTCCTTTGAAAATCAATAGTCTATTCTGGAAACTGGAAAGCTATTTGTTGAAGTTGATTATGATCGAAATGAAGTACCTTCGTAGGTTGGTGTCAG